TAGCTCCTTATACAAACAGGTTTAATATATCACTACTTGAAAGGAGACGCAATTGCTGTTCTGTGAGCTTGAACTTATTTAGTATATGGGGAACAGAGTGCTTTAGCATTTGGAGTCCGTAATTTGTTCGCGGTTGGGGGATGTGCTAGTGTTCAGAACTCCGCATCGGACGCAACAAAATTTTCGGCTGTAAATGTGCTAAGCCTCTCAGATTTGCGCAATTCTTTCGAATTTCAGACCTCAAAGACAACAAGTTATGTTGATATGCAACACAAAATTTTAAAACTTTAAACTTGACAAATAAATGGGATGTGTGTTCTCTGTAACCTATATTTGCAACAGCCCGTAAAGCGCTGTGTGACGTGAACCATGCGCTTCGAGCTGATGAAACGATTTCGACCTTGGGGATGTGCTTATGCTTCAGTTCGACTAGTTTGTTTTTGACACAGATCCAGTTATCATTAACATTGCGCTTACGCATTGTGCACAAAAATTCAACGCAAAAAGATGACAACTCTTGGAGGATAAGATCAACATTTGCGCGTGCGTAACTGTAGCTAGTTTTCTTTGGCTGCCCAGGTTTGTTATTTTTAATGCATATTCACAGTGGAGAACATTCTGACCACTAATAGATTCCAAAACACGGACAGTCATTTTTCCCGGCTCGATAGTTAATACCAGATCCAAGATGGCATCGCCACGTGTGCATTCGCAAACTATTTGTTGCAAATCAAATAAAGAAAGCTCATCTAAAAATTCCTTGCATTCGTTCTTTCTTGTACCGCCCAGGGGTGTGTAGGATTGCCAATCGACCGCAGGGTAATTAAAATCACCACCTAGAATAATTGGTGATGCTGGGTATTTGTCCTGGATAGCGCTTAAAGAACCATTTAAATTTTCCACGAATTCTTGAGGGTAATCGGGTGGGCAGTAACACACCGCGACGGCACAAGTTACAGAAGGGCACATTCCAATCAGAACCCACAAAGTTTCTCTATCGGAACTCGTCGGAACAACGCGTGCACGAAACGAATTTTTTACGGCCACTACCACTCCACCACCGCGTGCGGCCACTCGGTCTCTCCTGAATATCGTAAATGCTTTAGAGAGTGACAGTTCGGTATTGTTAATGTCGGGAGTCAACCATGTCTCTGTGCCCAGAACAATGTCTGCCGAACATGATTCTACAAATGCACATAACTGATCTTGCTTTGGGAGCACACTACGAAAATTGCACACTCAAATTGATAAATTCTTTCCTGCCTAAACGGTTTCATGTCAGTCACCAATAGTATCATCTTCCCCTTCTGGATTAGCCACTCTGTGTGAAGGTGGCATGCTTGATGTAGATTCTTCGTTTCTTGGAAGACAGACTATCTCATTTTTTGCTGAGGCGAATGAATAACACTTGTTTCCGAGAAGCAGTTTATCAAAGACAACCCTGTACTTCTGATCTTGGGTGCGGTTCTCCCGAACGAAGTCTTGCAGTTTTTTTCTGACAACTTGTAATCGTCGCGAGAAGTCTTCCTCAATCCATACGCAAGGTTCTTTTAACTTCTTTAGCTTAGAAGCGGTCCTTAGAATGTTGTTTTTATCTTTGTAGTTCAGGAATTTTATCACAATTGGGCGACTTTGTTCTGGTTTGGGCCGGCCCACTCTGTGCGCTCGCTCGATTTCTCCTGCCTGAATGCCTAAATGAGCGGACACGAATTCCGTAATCAAACGTTTCGTATCTGCCCATTTTTCATCTGGTTCCTCGGGAATGCCCTTGAAAATCGGTTTGTTTCTTCACATTCGGTTATTTAAGTCGTCGACTACAAATTCGGTTTGTTCTGATTGTTTAGTCTTAATGGTCTGCAGCTGTACCTGGGATTCTTGAACGGCTTCGTTAACACTGGTGACATCCTGACGTAGGTTGTCGATTGCGCTTAGTTTGCCTTCCACTTCACTGAGCCGCCTTTTAATGTCGGTAACGTTCGTTTGAATGTCCTTCAGCCTTATTGACGTCTCCTTGTGAAATTTTTCATTTGAATGTGATAGTTCATTTATGGAAGGAAATAACTTGGTCTATTTTGTTTGGACCAGGATTGGTCTCAACATCTCCCGCGCAGATTATCAAATGGGCGACACAGAAAAGCGCCAAGAAACACCGTCCTCCGGAACGACAACAATCGGTGAGTAAGGCAGGCCGTAACCATACTGGGGAACATGACGTGTTCAATTTACAGCGAGCCAAGAAAGAACCAATCCTCGTACGGTACGCAGACAGATCACAATCCATCATTCATTACACTTCACTTGGGATTTGCAGCAAAAAGTTTGGGAGTGGTAAATAAAGCACTAGGCTTTACACTCATCTAAAAGCATGAAAATAGCGGTGTGAGCTGAGCTCTCTGCTGCAAATCCTGATGGCTCACTGACGATGACCCCTTAAGTAGACGATCGGCATGGGGGCGCTGCGTGCGATGTAGACCAGAGTCGTCTGCAGCGCAGGTTGCGGCGCAGTTCACCAACGTGTGGGAGGACCAAGACACGAGGCTGCTGGATGGGTGACTCGATGACGGCAATCAGATTGCAGTGCTATCGGCAGTGTAAGCAGCTTGCTCCACTGGGATGCCGGCGCCTAAAAGCATGAAAATAGCGGTGTGAGCTGAGCTCTTTGCTGCAAATTTTGCGAAGTCCCGGCCGGTATTCCATGTACAATTCCCCGCAAGACGCCTTCGGGGTCGGCCACGTATGCATTGAAAGCGTGGATTTGTCCCCTGATCTTTAGTTGACTGATACCTCGCAGCCTACTCGCTACCTCCATGCTTGGCGTAAATAGGATTACAATGTTCGATCCTGGGTGAACCCGCAACAGAAAGTCATTGCCATTGAAACTTCGTTGGCAGGCATCTATCACAGCCCTGGAGAGTTCCAGTCCCAATATGTTTTAACCCAGAGACCCTTATGCGGCCTCAGAATAATCTTGATGTCCTCTTTCGATAGTGGAGGTGGGCCGCGTCGCTTTCTCCGTCTAAAACCCTGCGTGGCTTCACGTTTTTGTTTTTCGGCGGGCGGATCGCTTTCAAATTTCTCGTTCGCTTTCACAGCCTTCTCCATCTGGAATTTCTGCTTTTTTAACAGGTTTTTCTTTTGCCTGCGCGATAAAACGGTATGCCAGGCATCCTCAGTCCATCCATGGCGTTCCGAACAAGTGGCTTCGCCAGTCTCGTTTCCGAGAGTCGCGTCAACAGACGCTGGTTTGTCATCCTTTGCCTGCCGAGACGAGACGCCACTCGCGTCCGAGTCAGCGGTGAGTGATTCCGGTGCCCGAGAAGGGCCGAGATAAGCTTCGTCAACTTCCATATGGCGAGAAAAGGTGATCAGCCCCGGCCAGGCATGCTTGGCAGAACAAAGGAAAAGTGACCGCCGCTCCTGCCAAGTTAGTAGGAGCGCTTAGGCTGACAGAGCTTTCCCGCCGGCATTTTGTCGTGTCACAAAACAGGTCAAGAAAGTGAGGTAAACATCGCTCACCTTCTATCTTTGTCCCATGGCAGCAAAGCAAGTGTCCAAAGTTCACTATCTGCTAGTCCGTGCTCCAACAAACACAAAACACCGTCATGTTCCGGACGTCGGAGTACCTTCCGGGATGCGCGACGCCGGCCGTGGTCGTTAAGGTGAGCGTCTCAACAAGGTCATCCAATCTGCCTGCGATGGTTTCTTCTCGTAAAGTTGATCCTGGCCCAAGCTTTGGGTATCCGTGGAATCAGGAGAACTTCACAAAGCAGACTATAAGATTGTTAATTGTTAGATGAGTTTGCGCGAAATTGCTCTTAGAAAAGCTTCGAGAAAGCGGAGCGCAGTGTGAACATGTCTTCACAGCTTGGCGCCTTCTGGCGGTCTCCGCCACTCGATGAGCCTTCGCTTGGGGGATGACTCCATCGGGAGGGCAATCACCGTAAAGACCGACATGTCGTTCGATCTTTTCAACGTATGCGTCGGCGGCCACTCTTGACGCTGCGTGTGTCAACATTTTGAGTGTCGCCTGAGGCGACTAGTTCACTCAACAGCATATACTGAAGGTACGCTGCTTCATCTTTTTTGTGTCCCGGTGGACATCCTGACCGCTTCAACAATCTGCGCCATCGCCTTCGTGTCCAGCATGACTGGGAATTCAAAAAAACGACTTGCCTGGAAGTCACCAATGGGCCTACTGAGCACATCAGAAATGGTGCGGAACCTTTCGGTCGTCTGGATACCGGTCAACCCCGGCCTGGCCTGCTTGTCAATGCGCACATTGCGCACAGGACAGTTTCTGGCCCAACAGCAGTGGTCGACGCGGTTGCGACCCATCCCGTCGGCCCAAGACACCAGCATCGGTAGAAGCGGGTCCGCCCAGCTCCACAGTTTGATGTCACTTGGTGTCTTTGCGACACTCTGGTGGACCATCTGGTTGAAAAACGGGGGGTCTCCGCAGTTTAAAGTCATAACCTGTGGGAGGCACTGCTCCCAGTACGCCTGGGCTGTATGTTGTGGACTGGATTGTTCTTCATCTATCTGGCTTACATTTTGTGACATTTTTCATAGAAAGAGCATGTAGTTTTACGTGAGACCCGCCCCAGCCTCACAACTGGTCAGACGAAGGTTCCAGAACCTCTCTTTTGCCCCTTGAATAATACTTCGAATGAGATAAAAATAATTTTGCCCACAGCCCCCTAATGGTGTGATGTTTTTTGATGGTGTGCCGTATAATGCCTTACTCGCCATGTCGAGGCATTTCACAAACTTGAACCCGGTGCCTTCTATCATGCTGCAATAGCGCCGCGCCAGAGCCAAACCAGCCAAGGCCTCGCTAGAAGTGGGCAGCGGAACGTTTTCGAAGACGGCGTCTTCAACTTCCGCTACTTGAATCCCGGTGCCCTGCGTGGCACCTCGGCAGCGATTTCCATGTCAGTCAGTTCGGCAATCGCTTCTGACGCATAGTCCTCGCCAACGAAGTCTTTCAGCGTGAGCGTGCCCTATGCATCGCCCACAAACCGCGAAAGATCACTCCACATTTCGTCGAGCTCGACAACCTCTTCAGAGCCTTCAACATATTCAGTGGGCTCTTCAGCTGCGTCAACGCCAACAGTGAAGCCAGCGTGCCGAAAGCACTTCGCGATCATCTCTTTGTTCACGCTCTCCCAAGCGGCCTTCAACATCTGTATGGCACCCAACAAGTCAATTTTCAGGTCTTCGTTCATTCGAAGACGAATGAGCAGCCACTCGATGAGCCTTCGCTTGTAAATCGCTTTGAAGGTGCGGATGATCACTTGGTGTAGAGGCTGGAGCTTTGAGGTGGTGTTAAGCGAAAGAAACTTGAGCTCAGTATTGCTCAATGGAACATCTGCGAAGTGTGCCGAGCAGTTGTCGACGCGGAAACACAGTGTCCTGCCTTCATCCCCAAGCTGCGTATCCCACTCCCTCAACCATTTCCCAAAGAACTCTCGTGCCATCCATGACTTTCAATTTGAAGCATAGGTGACTGGTAGGTCGCGGCAGCGTCTCATACAGTTCGGAGTCTTGAACTTGCCGATCACGAATGGACGAAGTTTTGTCGAACCATCCATGTTCGCGGCAAGTAAGACCGTTATCCGTGTTTTGGTTTGCTTACCACCATGACATTTCTGCCCGCGGGTGTCCAGAGTTTGGCGCGGCAGCATCTTCCAGAAGAGGCCCTTTTCGTCCGCCTTAAAATTATATTTTGGATCATATCTGGCACGAATTTGAGGCCACTCTTGTTTCATTCATTGTCCATCGCTGTGGCATTTGCTTACTTGCTTTCGCCCGTGACAGCTTTTTCAACAATGTCGTACCGGTTCTTAAATCGTTGCAGCCACCCCGCACTGGCATTAAAATCTTTGGCATCGAGTATGAACGCGAAGTCCCTTGCCTTTTGCTGCAGCATTGGCCCGGACACAGGAATATTCCTAGCCCTTACGTCGACGAACCATTTGTGAAGACATTCTTCGACGTGTTTGAAGGCAGCGGGTCGAATACGCCATGCGTTGGCGTGTTTTCTGCCATCTTGCTGAACGATTTCCTTTTTCTGCTCCAGCACCGTGCTTAATGTGCTGCGAGGTATTTTGAGAGCATCATCAATGACTGACTTTTCACCTCTTTCGACTCGCCGAATAATTTCCAGTTTCGTCGCATACGTCAAAGTAGTCCGTTTCTTCTTGTTTTGCGCAATGGCAACGGTAAACGACACCGCCTAGCACCACAAAACGTGCAAACGAAGAATACACCACACACACCCAACAATAAAGCAGCCGCTTGCTCCGAATGGCGGCGTGCAAACTGACGCGTCCATGTCGTCGATCGTCAAGGCCGCTCCATTCTACCTGCGCGTCAGGCGCATGAAATTTTAGTAAACGGGGGTATCCGTATCCTTAGAGAGTGAAGCTTGCCGATCTCGAAAGCCATTAAAAAAAAAGAAGCGTCGTTCGCCAATTACGCCCCTACACAGCGTCAGTCGCTACAAGCGCATCGGGTGTAAACGTGGGTCTGCTCGACTGCCGCTGTGCTGCGGAGAAGCCGAATGTGCGCTCCTGAAGTGGTCTGTAAAATTAGTTACATTCATGTCCGTTATATCGAGGTTTGATTGTAGCTTCCTTATTCTAGAAAGGCTCATTTTTTGCATATATGACGGGTAATTGGGAACAGCGTTGGGACAGCAGTTGGTAAGAGCAATAGCAGTTTAGTATCTTTCTTGCAGTAATTTTCAGTGAAGTGCCGAAAACAAACCAAAAAATAGTTGCTGGATACCCACCTTGTTTAGTTTCCTCCAGTATCCTGCCTGGAGATCTGGGCCAATCTTGTCGGCTTGTAGCATCTGATGGAATCATTGTAGGCCAAATCATTTTTTTTTAAGTTTGACGTGCACATGGAAACGGAACAGTTCTTTGGCATGCTGCTGCTCATCTACCCAGCTGACCTATGCTTTGGTTTGTAAGAGGCAGAACACACAATTAACACAACTATTTGCTATCGTGGCCCTTAAACTCTCATCGCTGTGCGGCAAGGCGCGCAGTTGAGAGCACGCCTCGCCGGAGTCTTTCCTACTACTAGTGCCCCCCTTCTAAAATTGTGGTCGGAACTGTCAACGACGCTCTCCCTCCATCCACAACGCTTCGCGGCTCCACGCAGCAGCCCGCACCTTGTGTGCTTTGATCCAGCGGCCGTGGTATGCCGTGCCAGTGTGGTTTTAAATGTAACTGAAGCATTGGCCAATCATCTGGTACCTGCACTTTGGCAAAGAGGTTGATCTTTCAGAATGTTATCACTCACGTGCAGAGTCACTCTGCATGTAGTTTGGGCATCGCGCCCTCGTCCACTTTCAGCCATGTGTGCTGTGCTATCGCAATGTTTATTTTTTCTCGTACGTTTGACGCGTCGTCTTAATGCCATAATATCTGTACATGCCAACATGAAACTGTGAGTGTGCTGGCAGAACGCGAGCGAAAGCGGAGAAAGATGAAAATGGTAAAACACGAGCACATGACACCAGCAAAGCCGTGAGCGCAGAACTAAGATTGGCAAAACGAAATGGCCGCCTTGGTTTGCGCCAGCCAATGGGAGGCTCAAGGAAAAGAGCTCACCTTGCTCGTGCACGCTGTGGCCAATGGGCATTGGGATCTGCCCCTCAGAAAAGCGATGATACAGTATAATCTCATTACAGCAGACTTCTATAGTAAAGAGGAGTTTGGTCTGTTCTAAAAAGAGTACAATTATAAATGGTACATACAGGCTGCGAACAATGGTTCCTGCAGGGGTAAAGTACCTAAATGATGGGGCACACCTCAGCACCTTTTCCAGAAGGGTGAAAGATTGACATGTAAAAGAGAAGCGGAAAGATGGAAGAGGAGAACAGGAAAATAGACAATCTGCATGTGCCACGGTGATTGTGACATTGCAGCATGCAATGGCGTGCAGCGGACACGTATTGACAATCCTCAAAACATGCAGCCAATAGTTCAAAAATGCGTGAAATAAACTTCATTTGTCAAAACAGTCACATCTCCCGAGTAGAATTTCAATGTTTTCATCTGTTTTCCAATTTCAGTTCAGTATCTTTTGGAAAACAAGGTGGCGTCGAGGTTGCTTCGAACTCGTAGTGTGGTTCAGTCTTTAAGAACATCTTTAAATAGTTGTAGGTTGTATGGCCACGAATATGTTTTCGATGATGTGTGCACTAAAAGAAACTCCTATACCAGGTATCATCACCTGCACCTTGTACACAGTTCTATGCACCCTCTCTCAACCATGCAAACCTAAACATTGCATAGACACGGTCTGATGATTCGCTGGGAATCAGAGCCTAACCAACTGTTTTTAGGGAGGGGAGGGAGGGGAATGATGAAGCATTTGATGCGATGTTGAGAAACAAAACACGCAGCCAATTTTGGCTCACAGAGAAATGAGCCCCTCGATTAAGTCCCTTTCTTTTGCTGCAACACATTGCTTACTTGAGGTCCTTCCACCAGGTAAAACATCAAACAGGCAGCTTCGTGCTGTCCGAGCTCGCACAGAATGTAAAGATTAACTGCCACTGCATGCATGAACTTGTGGGTGTCGTTCTGCAGCAGGAGCACACCCCACGTGCCAGAGATGGAAAGGCTCAAGAAGATGGTCCTGAACCTGCTTCAGTTTCAGGACCATCCTCTTGAGCATTCAGTTTTTCTGCCTTATCATTGCAGTAGTGTGTTTGCCTGAGGTATGTGCTGCACTTCAAAGAGCTCGGGAAAACAAAACAAGGGCCCATAGTCACTTGTACGGCGCAGGCGAGCTCTCCGTGCACACGCAATTTTTCAGCAGAAGCGTGCTTCACAGCGCATGATTTGTCACGGTTTGGATAATGTACTTGGTCAACTGGTGGCCAGGTTTTAGTTGTAGTTCTTATAGTAAGGGTGTTTTTTGTTCTGTGCAATGAATTTCGTTATGGTCATTGCCACAGCAGCTTTCTCAGCAAACAATGACTCATGTTTTTCATTTGGCGCCAGTTGTCAAAATCGAGTGAGGCTCTTCCCCACCCTCTCTTCCCCATCTCTTCACCACCCCCTCACGCATCTGACCTAGAGGTCACGTGCGCATGATGTGCCCAAACTAATCCAATCCTCGAGCACACAAGCGACGTTGCTTTGTTGACCAGCGTTATTTTGTGCTCTTCTGCCTGTTTCTGCGGGATGGTTTGGAAACACTGGCTTAGACGCGATAAAATCGATGAGCACTATGAGTGTGCGAACGCGTAGGAGTGTTCCACGGCGGTCGTCTGCTTGATGCTTTGACCGCAGGTACATGAACGCATGTGAAACGTCAAGACATTAGCCCCGCATCTCATTGTGATTCATAAGAGAAAAATGGAAAAAAGATTCTCGCATTCCCTTATTGCATCTCAATATTTATGTAGAGCTTTATTAATCTTTTCAAGCAACAAATTACATAAATTACGCATGCCATGCTAAATCATTTTTGCCATGTCACGTGTCACTGTTCGCAACGTCGGAGCAGAGTTGTCTACGTAGAGGATCGTCACTGCATTGCCGTGTAGTAGGACCATTCCTATGCGCACGTCATGCCCTCATTCTCTGGGCGCGTGCCGGCAGAAGGGGGGTGGGGACAGTGTTCATCTCAAAATTTGACCCATTTCCACGGTGCGTAGCATTGCGAAGTTTGGCAGATGTGATCATGAACGCCTCGTCTACGCGTTGCGCTTCTCAGCTCAAAATTGTCAAACCTGGTGAGTGGCCCTCGAAAGTTTTATGCCCATGTTCTGAAGACGATGGAAGTATCAACATACTAGTCTTACCCACCACTTCACAAAGTGAACACGCGATAAGGACGTGCCAGAATGCCAGACTGCCAAAAGCTTCGAATTCAAACACAGTCTGCATCTACACAGACACTCTCGGACATACCGCACTTCAGGTTCTGCTTCCATCGCATTCACCCACTCAGTGGGTGCAAAGGCTGACAAGTAGCACGTGAACTACAAGAACATTTCTGTCTAATGTGATGGCCACTCAGAATTACAGTGGCAAAAAAACATACATTCCCACTGCTTTGTGTGGTGCAGGGTGGCCACGGCAAGACATAGTGTAAGGACGTTTGGCAAGGACCATGAAGGGAATGGGATTATTCCCAGCCAACGGTAGCCCTTGCTGTCCCCGCTGGCCTTCCCAAGGACATCATGTAATGAACTATCCCCGGAAAGCTATTGTGTACATGTATTGAATTACTTGTCTTTATTGTCGTGGCCACCGGGAAAAAAATGAACAACACGAGTTACGTGAAAAAAAGAACAAAACAGAAAAATTCAATTATTGAAATCAATAACCAACATAAAAACGGAACACGAGACAACGAAAAAAACATAAAAGAGAGCAAGGCTAAACTCTGTTGTGAAATCTGTTTAAACAAATGAGACTCTCCCTTAAGAATAAAGAACTTGAACTTA